AGCAGAGATGGGGTTTCACCATGTTGCCCAGGCTGGTCTGGAACTCCTGAGCTCAGGCAATCTGTCCGCCTTGGCCTCCCAGAGTGCTAGGATTACAGGCATGAACCACCATGCCTGGCCTCTTTTCTGTGGTAAAAATAGGTAATAGTTTCTTCTTCTTTTTTTTTTTTCTGAGACAGAGTCTCGCGACCAGGCTGGAGGGCAGTGGCACAATCTCAGCTCACTGAAACCACTGCCTCCCAAGTTCAAGCAGTCCTCCCACCTCAGGGCCCCACCTGCCACCCCCATAGCTGGGACTACAGGGGTGCACCACCACACTTGGCTAATTTTTGTATTTTTACAAAATTTTTACAAAATTTTAGAGATGGAGTTTCACCATATTAGCCAGGCTGGTCTCAAACTCCTGACCTCAGATAATCTGCCCGTCTCGGCCTCACAAAGTGCTGAGATTACAGGTGTGAGCCACCACACCTGGCCAAAAATAGGCAATAGTTTCTTAGGTATAACAAAAGAAAAAAGAAACAGATAAATTGGACTTCATCAAAATTTAACACTTTATATTTCATGTGACACTATCAAGAAAGTGAAAAGAAAACCCACAGAATGGGAAAAAATATTTGCAAATAAATCACATCTGTTAAGAGTCTGGTATGTAGCACATCTAAAGACCTCTTATAACTCAACAATAAATAGGCAATTAACCCCTTTAGAAAATGGGCAAAAGATTTATTTGAATAGACATTTCTCCAACCAAGGTATATAAAGGGTTAACAAGCCCATGAAAAAGATGTTCAGTACCATTACTCATCAAGGTAAAGCAAATCAATACCACAATGAGATACCACTTTACACCCACTATGGTGACAATAATGAAAAAGACAGACAATAACAACTATTGATGAGGATGTGGAGAAACTGGAAACTCTTACAGGTGGCTGGTAAGAATATAAAATAGTGCCGCAAAACTGGAAAACTGTGTGTTTACTGTGTTTGAGCAGTTACTCAAAAAGTTAAATGTACAACTCAGCCATTCTACTGCAAAGTATACAGCCAAGAGAAATGAAAATACATATCCACATGAAATCTTTTACAACAATGTTCAAAGAATCATTCTTCACAATAGCCAAAAAGTTGAACAACCCCAAATGTCCATCAACAGACGGATAAAGAAAATGTAGTCTAATCACACAATGGAATCTTGCTCAGCCATAAAAAGGAACGAACTTCTGATACATGCTACATTATGGATGAACCTTGAAAACACCATGCTAAGTGAAAGATACCAGACACAAAAGCCAAATATTACATGATTCCAATTATACAAAATGTCCTGAATAGGCAACATAAAGACAGAAAATAGGATGCCAGAAACTGGGGAGAGAGGGAAATAAGAAGTGCTAATGGGAATGGGATGTGAGGGTGAAGTATTTTAGATTTAAATAGTGGTAACAGTTGCACACTTTGTGAATATTCAAAAAAAAAAAACAAAACAAAACACTAAAGCACACACTTTAAAAAGTGAAACACCAGTAGGTAAATTATATATAATCTCAATTTTTAATTTTTAAATGAACGGCAACTAGAAGGAGAAAGTATCTCAATTTTTAAAATATACTGATAACTTCACAAAAAACCTAACACCTATTTCTGACAAAAACTCAGATAAGGGCATTTAACTTTCTTTCTTTAACTTTCATGTGCCCACCTGGGTCTCTCCAAAGCACACCTTCCTTTCTTTCCTGTTCTGAGCCTTTTTAAATAAACTTCTATTCCTGCTCTGGAAAAAAAAAAAAAAAAAAAAGATAAGATAAACAGAAGTAAATAGAAAACTACCTCATTTTGATAAAGAACATCTACAAAAATCCTACAGCTAATACCATACTTAGCACCTAAGAGAGGAACCAGACAAGCATGTCCCGTCTCACCACTCTTATTTTACATAGTACTGGAAGTTCTAGCCAGTGCAATAAGGCAAGAAAAAGAAATTAAAAGCACACGTATCTGAAAGAGATAAAACTGTTGCTATTTGCAGATCACAAGACTGTATATGTAGGAAACTCCACAGACGCTACAAAAACTCCTACAACTAATAAGTTCAAAAAGGTTGTAATATAAGCCATATAAGGTAAGAAATGGAGAAAGCAGAGGATGGATGGATCTAGAGAAAGCTGAACAGTCAAAGGTTTGAAGTTCAAAAGAGATCAAAGAATTACACTGGGAGTTGTGTTAAAAAAAAAAAAAAACCACGAAGGAAGAGGAGGTTGGAGGGGGAGAGAGAGAGAGGGAGAGGGAGACAGAAAGAGAGAGAGAGAAAGAAAAGAGAAGAAAAGAGTTGAAAAAGGAAAGGAGGGAGGGAAGGAAGGGAAAAGAAAAGAGAAAAAGAAGGAGGAGGAGAAAAGGAGGGGGAGAAAGAGAGAGAATTAGATAAAAGAGGGAGACAGGTTTTATTCCATCACTACTGCAGTTTCTCTACGCCATCTAAATGTGCAATGAAGGAAATCAGGTGGTTTGTTTTTTGACAGCAACTGAACAATTTATTGGTCTCTCAAAGTTACTGTAGAGAGATGAAAATCATTTAGGTTAGAAATCCTAAAATTTTACACATATGGCTATATATTAGTTTCCTTAAACATTTTGGCTCTAACAATTAAAACAGTAATACTATATATATATAAAGCAAAAAGCTGAAATTATCGACCTCCAAGAAATTTTGTTAAGGCTTCCTTACTATTTGCTATTTTTAACACAGATGTTTAAAAGAACTGTTTCCATTTTCAACCCTACACCTATATGTGTGCATGAGCGCACACACACACACACACACAAAAGGGAATTTGGGGGCAATATTTATACCTAACCACATAGAAAATGCTGCTTGTGATACATCCAATGCCACACAGTTTTGGCATTCCTGAGGGTGAAATCATATTTGTCACATCACTGGATCCCATGGAGTGTATGTACACTCTTTTAGGCAAGATCCCCAATGTGGATGTAGTCTTTCTCCCCAATGCCAGCACTATAATGAGATTCTGTTTCACAGCCGTAATACTGGCTTATGAAGCACAAACTCACTTTCCTGCCACTGCTTTTACTTACTTGCCCAGCATGCTCTGTACCAGTGCCAACAATTTTTAAACTGAGAAACCACACAAATACACCCACACAAAAGTAAAAGCATGTGTCCATCAACTAACTGCCTGTGAAGACCTGCCTGTGGACACCAAGCAACCCCACTCATCACGAGTGCACCACTCAGATGCCATTGGCTCTACCAAAGATATGTTTTTTAAAGTACATATCAAAGTATGTACACTAAAGTACAGGGTAAAGTAGAGAAAATCACACCATAGTTATATACAAATTATACTGTTATAGGAAAATGAACTAATATAGCAAAAATGATTTTTGATGGTAATAGCTGAATTATGATATTTGTTTTCTATTATTTTTTACAATCTACGAAAAAGAGATAAGGAGGATTAACGGAAGCATTTTTAGATCACTTTAAGCATTTTATATAGGAAACATGCTGTTCAAAGAAAAATTCCTCTGGAATAATAAGGTACACAGCAGAGCGCAAGTCAAAAGCCTTGCATTCGGTTACCCGCTCTGCCCTATGTACCTAACTTACTTTGAGGAAAAGCACTCAGACTTTTCTTTACAATCTCAAGATATTCAAAATGTGAAGGCTTGTACTAGGAAGACAGGAGTAGTGATGAGGAGAATTACTGGGATTCGGGGTACAGTTTTAAAAGTAAATCCAACATGATTAATGAATTCGGTACTGGTTGTAATCTAATATACCTAAAAATTCTAAAATAGCCTAGCTATGATACAATGAGGTATCCAGAGTTAGAAAAGTTTTTCTCAGCAATTAACTTTTTGATATTCTTTCCTTCATACAGGAGTAATTCATTCCTGTCTTTTCCTCTCCTGGACTCACAAGAATTACCCACTAGTTCTCAAATATCATCACAAAGTATAGGGAAAGGAATACAGGAACCGGAAACAACAGGTTACAATTCACATCAAAATCATTACTTTATTTACTCAACAATACTTACTGCACACCTATCACAAGCCAGGGACTCTTCAAGGCATTGAACTTATGCTCATTGAGAAACAAATAAAGAACAATAAAGGGAATAAAGTAAAGGTCCTGCTCTCATGAGTAAACACATACTTTTCTAGTGATACACGCTAAGAAGAACACTCCAACAGGGTGAGGGCACAGAGCGTGCTATTCCGGTGGCCTTCAGTAATGCAGTGATACTGTATGAAGTGAGATCTTCATGGCATGAGGGAGGAGGGAGGAGGCCACAATGATACCCACAGGGCAAATACTTCAGGCAGAAAGAATTATAAGCACAGAGGTCCTGAAGCAGGAGATGCTCAAAATGTTCAAAATTAGCAAGGAGGTCAACGTGGCTAGAGCAAAGAGAACTTTCACAAAGAACAATTCAAATGACATCAGAATGGTGATGGGTGCCAGATCACTCAAGGCCCAGTGAGCCATGGTGAGTTGCTGAATTGCAGCCTGGGTGTGATGGGAAGCCTTTGGAGGTTTAGGAAGAAGATTCACATCACCTGACTTGTATTCTGAAAGGATTACTCTGGTTGCTATATGAAAAACAGACTTTAGGTATGGGGAAACAGTAGAAGAAAAGATACTGTTTAGGAGGGAAACACAAGAGCCCAGGTAAAATACCATGACAGCTTGCGCTGGGAAGACAGTAGCAGTGATGATGAGAGTTCCTGGGATTCAGGATGCAATTTTAAAAGTAAAGCCAACAGGATTAGTTAAATTCAGTACAGGTTATGAAAGTCAGTGATGATTCACTCCACTGTTTCTGGCCTGGAAAACTGGGTGAATGGAGGTTAAGTTTTAAGAGTTAGAAACTCTTACTAAATTACCTAATTCAGCTGTTCACATATAACATAAATGATACAAATGTAAAACTGAAAAAGCAAAAGCAGAGAATGCTTTTTCTACTCACCATTTGCAGATTGTATCATGTTTCCAGATTTCTGGACTTCATCAAATTTTGTAAAAATTACATTCAATCTGTATGAAAGCAAAAATGTAAACAAACTATTAACCATCACGGCTCATAGCCAATTACTTTAAAATGCTAATGTGAAGTTGATCCCCACCGCCCCCCAAAAATCAATGATACAGACCCACCTAAGAACGAAACACAGTGACTAAATCAATAACATTAACAATAGCCAACAATAACTGAGCACTTACTATGGGTAAAGAATGGGCCTAGAAGTCTATCTGAAGGAGCTCATTTAATCTCCTTAAGGTGACATACGTGTGGGGTGGAGATTCTAGCCCTGAGAGTAGTAATCCAGAGCCCCTGCTCTCAGACATTACTGACTACTCTACACAAAATGTATATATTATGAGAAGTGTGTGTTTCTCCTATTTCTCTCTTAGCGCAAACTATCAATTACTTAGGATGGAGCTTTTCAAAATGCACTAATAGTACATTACAAAGGCTTGTGCTTCCTGCTGTGATTCATGCTCAATCCAAAAATGCTAGAAATAATTTCTCTAGAAACAAATGCTGTGACTGGATAATCTTCAGCTTAAAAAAAATCTGTATCACATTTATTTTCTATTAATGGATCATTTCACCTTGGCATTTAAATTAAAGCAAAATTCCTTAACCAGTCTAAATACTCCATCCTAGTGACACCAAAAATGAAAGAAAAAGGTGGGAGAATGCAATCATACTTAATAGAAAAAGTTAAAAAAGAGGCTTTCTTGAGCCCAGCGTGGTGGCTCATGCCTGTAATCCCAGCACTTTGGGAAGTTGAACCAGGTGGATTGCCTGAGGTCAGGAGTTCGAGACCAGCCTGGCCAACATAGTAAAACCCCATCTCTACTAAAAATACAAAAAATCAGCTGCATGTGGTGGTGGGTGCCTGTAATCCCAGCTACTAGGGAGGCTTAGGCAGGAGAATCGCTTGAACCCAGGAGGTGGAGCTTGCAGTGAGCCAAGACTGCACCACTGCACTCCAGCCTGGGCAACAAGAGCAAAACTCTGTCTCAAAAAAAAAAAAGAAAGAAAAAGAAAAAAGAGGTTTTCTCAAGCACAGCACAGGTATATTGGAGTAAGTGTTGAGATTCCAAAGTAATGTATCTATGCCTTCAATTTTAGGGACATTTTAGTGCTTTTTAGCACACCATCCTATCCTGCCAGCTCTCATCATTTCAAACATGTTTGTCTTTTCTTCTCAAGCGAATGGAAGCTCCTCAGGGGTAGAGATGTGAGCTATCCTCTCTTGGTATTGGTATCAAGCACTACGTATGCCATGCAGATGCTCGCTCAGGAGTTACATCTCTATGTTAGACAGCTGAAACCTAACTCCTCACTCTGGAAAACTGTGGGTATTCACACAAGCTCTGGTGTTTGTTCATTCATTTGTTCATTCACTCAAAACTAGAGTGCCCACTATGAGCCCAACACCGAGCTAGTGAGTTCTTACCCTCTGGAGCTCATGCTCTAAGTAACAGAGAGGCCAAAATTACACATCAGCAAATGAAGGGGATGAACCAGCCTGATGCACTGCCTCTCCCCATTCCATAGGTGACACCAACAATCTTCTCAAGCCATCTTTCCACCAAGCCCAGATGTTCCCTCAGAATCCTTCTCAAAACTATTCCAGGCAGACGCTACCCATTAGTTAAAACTGGCACTGAATAAAACTCCAACTGCCATCTCAGGACCAGAAATGAGTAAAACTATAACTCACTTTCAACTCCAGCAGTTACGAAAGAACTGGAAAGATGCCTTACATGATTGTGTTTCTTATGATGTTTCCATTATCTTCCCTTTTTTAAAGTAACAAAGATCTTCAACGGCTTGACAAACTCATAAATAACATCATGACACAGGTTGCCAGGGCATGCCCTCACTAAGGCACCACTTGATTGTGTCACAACCACAGCCTCTGATGTGAGCATGCCTGCAAGTTTGTAAGTGGGAGCCAAGGTATACCTCTAGTCTGGTTGTTCCTGAAATTACTGGAAGAGGGCAAGTATTTCTCCCATTCCTGGGAGAGTATTCAGCATTCTAAATGGTAATTGTGTACGGAGTCTGTGGATTCGTTCTCAGTGGTAAGGCATGCTCACTGCGGTCACATTACCCACGACCTGGCAGGCCTGAACAACTAGGTATGAGAACACTATAAACATAACTATTATTGGTATGTGCACCTTAATTCAGAATTCCCTCTGCTTTCACAATCCTGTCTCACTAGCTCCCTCATTCTCTGCTCATTAATGCTGCTACAACAGCTCCTATCAAGGTTACCACCTAAAGAGACAGTCTAACACCAACAAAGCATTCCTTAGGAATGAAAGGACTGGTTTTGTTTGCTAGCTCTGAGCACAAAAATATAAAATGTCTCTCTTGGGAACTACTGATTCACACAAATCTAAAAGGATGAGTTTTATATATTCAAAGACATTGAATACATAACTAATGATTACCCTCTGAAGCCACCAAATTGTTTTATTTTAAATCTCTGGATTTCCATTTAAAATAAATTTCTTTACTGGTTTGACAAATAACTACCATCTTCCCCTACTTTTTCTGAATTTAAATTTCCATATTAAACTCTTCAATCCAATTGGAATTTATTTTACTATAAGATTTAGTTCAAATTAGTTCCTTCCTAGAAAATTTTATATATACATTTTAAATAATTTCCTGGAAGAACATACTTAAACACAGCAATCTCAGTCAATAAGCTGCATCCATATACTTAGAGCTTCTAGCATGAAAAAGAGAAATCGACATAAACACATACTTAGAAACCCAAACTTGGAGCACAGACGAGATTTTGAAGAGAAAGAAAAAGTTTTCAAAAAAATGTCATTAGTGCTTCCAAAGAGATAAGAGAAAATATTGTGATCATAAAACAGGAGAGGAGCCCTTTAAAATGGCAGAGTATGGACCCTCGAAAATCTGCTTCAAAGAAGCAAAGAAAACATTGGCAAAAACTGTCCAAATCAACTTACCATCATGGTAAGAGTGAAAACAAGCAGCCTGGCAGCCACTAGAAAGAGCTGAAGCTCCCAAGTCTGGAGCTCCCTAAAAGTCCCCATTCCCAAAGAACTATCATTCCACCTACCTGGCATATCCCTGCGAGCCCAATTGTAGGGCTTGTCTTTATCTGACCTGACTTAGAGCTTGTTCAATGTTAGAGGCCTTTTCTCTGAGGCGATGATCAAAACTAACCAGTGACAACTGTTCAATATGGTGGACACCCGAGACAGAAATAACAACTGGAGCAAAGAAACTGACCAAAAATGGGGGGTGGGGGGGCGGGAAAAGAGGGCGGGGACTAGAAATTGAGATGTCCACAGCAAACTCTGAATATACTGACATACTCCTGGGAATCTGGGAGGTATATGTGCAAGGCTATGCAAATACACAGGCCCAGGAAAGACCCCTGAAGGCTCTAATGTCCCCCACTGGCTGACTTTGACACTCTGAACAAGCAGGAAGTAAAAAGGAAGACAGAGGTGTAAAACACCTCTCACAGCACTGAAAGCATGCCCCCAAAACACAGAGCCAGTCACTAGAGTCTGGGAGACTTACTGGTTCAACACGCTTAAGGAAACCTCTGTGCAATCATTAGCTAATCGCTAAGCTAACCAACCATTCAGTGGCCACATAAAATAAAGAACAAAGACTTTAAGGAATTCATTTAGGAAAGTCACTAGACCAAAATAAGCAACAAAAACAATAAACAGTAACAACAAAAACTCTGGGGAGGGGAAAGAATATGATTTCCTGAGTTGCCACAATATATTATTTAAAGTGTCCAGAGTCAACGAGAAATTGTGAGACAAAGAAACAAGAAAATATGGCCCATATAAAGGAAATACAATTCAGTCAACAAAAACTATTTGTAAGGAAACCTATACATTGGCTTAATTCAATGAAGACTTCAAGTCAATTAATATAAATATGTTGAAAGATCTAAAGAAAACTATTTCTGAATAATTAAAGTGCAAAAACAATGTCTCACCAAATAGAGAATAACAACAAAGAGAAAGAACATATTTAAAAGAACCATATAGAAATTCTGGAGACGAAATGTACAATAACTGAAATTAAAAATTCACTAGGAGGAGTTCAACAACAGATGTGAGCTGGGACAAGAAGTAATCAACAAATTTGAAGATGAGTCAACTGTTATTATATCCTATCTAAGTAACAGAAACAAACAAAAAAAATGAACAGAGCCCAAGAGATCATCTTACAGAACCAATGTACCAACACAGTCACATAATAGAGGTCCCAGGAAAAGAGAAAAAAGACAAGGCCATATGGTACTTTTCAAAGACTTTTTGGGTCCGATTCTTTGCCCTAGTTGTTATTGTTGCCTCAGGCAACTACCACGTTGAAAAATTATCAAAAAAGATATGAAGAATAATGGCTAAAAACTTCACAAATTTGATATAAAACAATCTATATATTTAACAACCAATTCCAAACAGGATAAACTTAAAGAGATTCAAATCTAGACACAATAACCAAACTGTCAGAAGAGAAGACAAAGAGAAAATCTTTAAAGCAACAATGGAGAACCCACTCATTGTGCACAAGGGAGCCTCAAAAAGGTCAATACCTGATTTCTCATCAGAAACCATGAAAGCCAGAGTGGAGCAGCGTGAGAATAGATAATATATTCAAAGTTCTGAAATTAAAAAGACAATCAACCAATAATTCTATATGTAACAAAACTATCCACCAAAAACAAAGGAGAACTTAAGATATTACCAGATAAACAAAAAGCAACAGTCCTTCGGGTTGAAATGAAAGGACACTGTACAACAGCTCAAATTCACATGAAGAAATAAAGAAAATAAGTAAAAATATAGTTATACCTATGTAGTCATAGGTAAATACAAAATATAGTATAAAGGTACTTTTTGTTCTTAACTCTTTTCTTGTTCTACATAACTTAAAAAGAAACTGCATAAAGCAATAAGTATAGAACTATATGCATTAGTGGGCTTATAATGTATAAAGATATAAC